ATGATGGCGATGTGCAGATGCTTAAAGCTTCTGTGTCATGTTTATTTACTAACTCTCTATATATTTTTGCCCCCCTGCAGCTGTAAATGAAAATGCTATAAAACTGAATGAGACACTCAGAATCCAAGACAAGACCCTGGAGAAAAGTCTTCAGAGTCTGCAGAGTGATATTGATAGAATGATGGCAGAGCTGCGGAGGAAAGAACTGAATGTGCAAGAAGGGGTGGCTCAAGAGGAACTAAAGTAAGTAGAAAGGCCACAAGTTTGAGCCTTATGACAGTGAGAGCTGAGTCTTTTCAATGTGATTTCAGTCCATTTCCATGAGATTTTAAAATTTGGAATCACATAACTACAAGGAAAAAGAGATACTAATATTTCATATCAATTTTTCAGCATACAGATTTTTGTAGTACTCATGCCTGTATAAAATTATCTTTTGGCACTCATAAGCGTATTTTGTATCATGTTTCTATTGGCATAGGCAAAAAATATCCAACTCTACATCAAAACTGAAAGCTTGATCAGTTTACTGCTCTATAAAACAATGATGATGATACTGCCCTTCCTCTGAAAAGTATTATATTAGAGCTAAGTTAATGTAAGAATTATGTTATAGATATGATGGTCCAGAAATTGTGTGAGGGGCAAAGACTTTTTAGGATGATATCTTTAATTGGACCAACTGTGTAATTGGGATAAATTTAGACAAGCTTTTGAATACAAAACATTCTTCCTCTGTGGGACAAGCTGAGGATTTGCTACCTGAAGAGCGTGATGGCAGCCATTGTCCCAGTAAGTACGGGGCTCAGCCTGGCCCCTACTACATTGGTCTAATAAAAGATATCATCCTTAGAAATCTTGCCCATCAGAGCTAGGTAATGCTTAATTGTTGATCCTGCAAGATTCTGAATACAGTGGCCTGATGCAACCAGAAACCTATGCACATGCTTGATATCCACAGGAGTGGGATTTGAGTAATTGTGGATGCCATAAATGTTGTCTGCAAAATATTTATCCAGGCCATTTCAAGAGGTATTAAATCTTACCGAATAACAGCTTAAATAACTTTTTCCTGGATACAGTTTTATTCTGTAGATGATGTCATAAAAAGTGACAGACACAACTTGATGGCAATGCATTCTGCAAAGGAAAGAGACAAAAATTGTCATCTTTTGAAAATATCTGAGAACTCCCTCCCTTCCAGAAAATAGTATGTTGCAGGAAAAACAAAAACTTTGAAATATACTGGTTTAATGGCACTGCAAGTCTTTTGACTACTCTGAAGTAATTATTCTTGTCGGCTGTTCAGGAAGATGACTTTGGACAGTGATGTATTCTGGTTGGCTTGATTTTGACCAAATACACATAGAAATAGCTGGAGTAGACTCTCCTCTTATTCACTGTAAAGGTCTAAATGCTAAGTGAAGAAGATTATTTTGATTATTTCCTTTGAAGTTCAGGGTTCGTGATGTTGCAGTCAACAGAACTTCACTCTT